GGACTACTATTGCAATTTGAACACACTGAAAACTCTTAACAACACTCTCTGCTGTACAAAGTATAATCATTAACAACTGCGTATGAAATTTATAAAATATAACTTTAATTGGTGCTCAAAAGAGCTCAGTAATCATTTCGTAGCACTGTAACGTGTGGTAAAATAATGTCACTTTACGTAGTCTCCGCATTATTTTAATATCTACTATATTATATAAAATAAGTTCTTCGAGCGCAGGTGTTACTTTCTTTAGATCCCTGCTGGATACCAAGGGATCGTGCCACACTACTCCCGCATCTTTGTAAACTCTAAGCCGCACTTCCTAATCGATTATCGTTGTGCTCGAACTACTGTGGGCACAGAGAAAAAGAATGCTACCCATTGCTGACAATCTCCAATAATTAGACGCAGGAATTGTCGAATCAAACTCTGAAACAAGAGAATACAATTTATTACTTATTATCAATTGTTATATTTGCAATTCTATCAATCTGTTTTGATAACATTTTAACGATTTGTTAAAAATACTGAAGTCAAAAAGAAAACATATCTCTTTTTAGCTTTGCTATAATGTACAGAATATTAATATATACTTGTTTCTAATATATTTCAACGGTAGCGAATAACATAGAAATTTGAGAGAAAACTAGGGCAAAGCCAGTGGAATATCTCATTAAACAAGACGTTCCTCTTTTTGGCTTAAAACCAGAAATCAAGTATAACATGTATAAAATCCTAATGCGTGCCGTGTGCTAGGTGTTCTTTAAAAAGAATCAAGCGTGAAACATGTAATACGCGGACGTACAAATAAATTACAGAGGCAAGATAAGAGACATTAGAGACCACAGATATCATTGATAAGCTTAAAAAAGAAAAAACTGCTATCTGCAGTCACTATTATCAAGAGATTCACAATTAACGCTACTGAACAATTAACAATAACAGGTTCATTGAAAATTTGAATTCTTGCCGGTCCACAGAATGCTCTTCTCTGCGATTTTTGCAACCACATTATCTATAATAACTTAAAAATGACAGTGCTGTTATCGTTATTGTTTCACAAATAAAATATATGATAAAAAATCTGCGCAACGATAATATAACGATAACGACACTGTCATTAAGAATTAAGACGTAATTGAAAAGCACAGGCAATAATGGGAAACAAGAGATAACATATTTGAATCTATACAGTTCAATACTAAGATAGATACAATTAAAAAATACAGGTAACATGAACTAAGAATAATAAATTCCAACTTATCAGGAACCATGGTATTTTGGTATATAGGGATCCAGGTTGAAATCTATTATTCCTTATTTCTATTGTCTGTCTTTTCAGTTGTGTATTAGGCTCATTATTCTCGGATTTATCGGAAGCCATGTATTCTGACAAACACAATTTCTGAGATGTTGAAATCTATTATTCCTTATCCCTATTACTCCATTGTTTGTATCTCAAGCTTCATACGGAATTTAGTTTTTAACTCTTTAATTTTCAGGCAGACATTTTTTAAGGCTGGATTTTCGCAACAAGCTGGACGCACACACACAACACACACACACTTCGCACTTCTATGGAGTTTTCTTTCAAAGGGAAGGAAGAAACCAACCAGAGAGCTAAAGGCGAATGCAGTGGTGATTGCAAAGTGATGCCCTACTCACGGAAGCATCCTGCGTGTGGGCAGCGGGACTTGCAAAACGTCCGGTAGGCTCGCGGGCGCGACGGCAAATTCGATTAGGCGTTAATCGGAATTACCGTTGCGTATCGCGGCGAGTCCCCGCCTCGCAATATAATCCTTTTTAGTATGGCACGCGAAATGATCGTCTCCCTCCCCGCTCTCTCCCTAACAGAAATTTCATACTGACAGTGATTGTTTATTTTTACTACATTTCAGTATTAAATTGTTGTTTAAAGAAGCGGTTTGCGGTTTATCTCCGTGTGTACATCGGTTAAATGCCAACATTTCGAACATTTCGGAAGTGCAATTTACTCATAACCCTAGCTATACACACTGGAGTTATAGAAATCTCCGTGCACTCTTTGCTAAATCGAGATATCTTCGTGTTTCTAAACTTTTCTTTTTCTTGAACCTATGTATCTCGAAGCTCCTTAATTCTACCAACATTTACACATTTGGACCTGTTCCTTAATTAATTCTCAATTGAAAAAAAAAAATTAATTTAAATGTATCGAAAGTTACAGTAACAAATATGGGTAATATGAAGGATACAAAAAAAAAACTGTGTATAGCTAGAGTTAAGATATTCTGAAATCTAAAAAGATAAATAAAAGGATATGTCGGGCAAGTGAGAATCAGGCGCAGTTAGTCGGACGCGTAATTACAATCTGTAATTATTAATTACACTCAATTATATAAAGTTTCAAACGATTCGGCTCAATACTAAATTGGATTTTTGTAAGGGCCTTAACCGACAGCCGCCCTCGATCGCGTGTATCGCGAAAACGTGACGGACAGTAAAAAATTACGAAAAAACGATGGCTAGAAAGAAAGAGAGAGAGAGAGAGAGAGCGCACGACTCGTCGACAGGTGTTGACGCTCGGTCACGCGGCTTGACACAATTTTGACAAGTGACCTTAGGTCACGTCCATACCGTTTGCCGATGCGGCCGACATCACGACATGCCGAGAGTATAGTCGTGGAAGAATTTGACTTGGAGAATTCTGGCTCGCAGCGAGGTCTGTGTCTTGGAAAAGCGGTTGGAGCTCCTCTTGGAACACACGAACACGCCCCGACACGCCACGCATGGGAAATCGAGCTCAGTCGGGCAACCACGAGCGACGTGCAGCCGTTGACGCGTGAGCAACCGAGAGATAGTTATAGTCGTCGACATCAACGACCGACGATGTTCGGAATGGACGGCCAAGATCGCGTAGGTATAAAGATCAACGTCGCGTTCGTGTCCGTCTCGTGGAGGCTAGACGAGACTGTTTCGCGGGTGCGCCTTTTCTCTCTCTCTCTCTCTCTTTTTTTCCGCACTGCCTACCTGCGACACTCTCCCTCTTGCCTCCCCTGCCACGGTCGAGATATGACGATATGAGCGCGGATGACTTCATTCCACGCGTATAGAAAGTGCAGGAAGGTGCATCTAGAATACTGCTGTCCAAAATTGCAATTCCATTGGCACTGACTCGACGTGTTCACGCTTATTGCCTTTCTTTTCTACTTCTATTTGTTTCCATTACGAAAAAAAGGTAATACACATCACAACATATCCAGATACGTCAAGTCCAATATGCCCACGATTATAAATCTCGGATAGCTATTCCACGTGAACGGGGTAAGGAGAGAGAAAAAAAGCGACGTGTCGCGCTCACTTCAGGCGAGACGGCGACGTCGGTCAGATGGTATATGCGATGGTAGTGAATACGCGTGGCCCGCGTGCAACTTCAGGGCGGATGGAACGAGCGGCGGAGTCGCTGTCCGTCATCTACGAGAAACTTTTGAGGACGTGGTGTTTCTCCTTGGACGAGTGGCGCTCGTAGTCATGTCATGCCACTCTGTCACTTACCTGCGATCGGTGACAACCCGTGACAGGATGGTCTAGGATTGAAATCTTGGACACGACGACCGCTTTCTCCTCCTCTTCCCCGCGTTCAGCCACTGCGAAATCCACCGGAATGTAGCCGCTAGCTGGTCGACTGTGCGTCTTGTTTCACGGGATCTGTTCATGGGAGAGAAACAGAATGATGGAGCGACGACACACTGTATAGTAAACACACGCGCACGTGTAGATTGCGTTCCGTCGCGATCCACACGAGAGTTCTATCTTTCGCGGAGATAGGCAATCTCTACGGCAAAGCTGTCCGCGTACACGGCCATTTTCAACTTATTGCTCACCACCACGTTTGCACGACCGCGCTCACGCATGCACGCACGCCCGCACACATGCAAGCCACGAGAGCGCAAGTGCAAACCTTGGCGAACCTCTCATGCGTATGACACGAGACGCGCTTCACCGCGCCTGAACTGCGTTCAAAAACTTCACTAGATGCACCCATGAAATAAGGACAGGTTCGTTCACTTGAAATTTTTGTTGCTTGAAATTTCCAAAAATGTTTGCACCTAAAACGGGATAAATATATTTTCAGGCCTTGAAAAGAAAGAGATCGAAGGTGCTAAGTGCAAAAGTTGACCTAAATTGTAAAAAGAAACCTGAAGGTCGATGGTGTATCTCGAAATGAGGTAATAAACAAAAGTGAGCAAATTCATGAGATATTGACCAATTAAATTATTAATATTCTAGTAAAAATTTGTACACTTTTGCAATTTTTATCTCATTTTAAGAGACACGTTGACTCTCTAATTGCATCATGATCTTCCACTAACTTCGACCAATAGCCAACTTGTATGACTAACGCTGATTGGTCACTGATTTAGGACGGGTTCACACCTTGATGGAAAAGTGGAAAACGGAAAAGCAGTAGCTGACTGCTGATTTGAGGATAGAAATCACTCTATTCCTAACTAATCAACATATAATTTTTACGAAAAAATAGCATTGATTGGCTACATATTCGGATCAAGTTCTAACACCGTGAACACAGGACTAAAGCCCATTCTACAATGGGCAGTAGCTGGCAGTAGCATTAACGACCGCTCAGTGAGCTATTGTACCTGTTTGGTTTATATTTTTAGACCTAATGAAATATGCCAATCAGATAAAAAAGCTCATTGAGCGCTTAGTAAGCGGCCATGCTTCTGGATGCACCTAATGAATTAAAAAGTAGGCGTAGAAATTAACAAATCATAATTGAATGTGAGGAGGATAATTAACTATCATTGGTCGATTTCTACGCCTACTCCATAATCTACTGCTACTGCCCATTGTAAAATGGACTTAACAGTTACGACAATCCACGACATCTTTGTGTTCAGGGTATCGATCATGAAACTTTTTCCCTAGAATAAAAAGTGAGAAAAGTGAAAAATTTCTCCATTAACTTCAATGATAAAAATTTTCACTTTTCATATACGCGATATGTGACATGCGATATCCAATCAACGTATTGCTTTTCCAGAAGAACTGTAAGTTTATTGGATATCGCGCGTTGCATATTGCGTATCGCGTCGCGCTAGTGTGCCGGGCCATTAGCCTTTCATTTTGAAAGAAAAGAAGAGAAAGAGTTGTAAAAAATTTTATAAAATCACATATATCAAACGGTACGTGATATATGACAACTAATTTATATCGATTAGAAGTAACGTAAAATTCTAATTTTTTCGAAGAAGCTACAACGAAGCTACTTGTTCTGTTTGAAATTTTCCATGTTCGAAGAGAACTGTTTTTAGGTTATCTGTCAATTGTCAATTTTATAATCAAAATTAATATAAAATTTTCCATATTTCCTTGCCATTTCATTGTTTAATATTGCATGTGTTTTACGTGTGTGCAAGATATAATTATTCTCTTTATTCACAGTATAGCGATAATCATGGCCAAAGAGCGTGGTGTCTTAAAAATAATGTGGAATAGTTTTGTATCCTCGCTGAAACCTCGCTTCGCCCGTCGCAAATTGATTGGTGAGGATTATTATGGCACGAAGTACTACGAGGAAGATATTCGTTATTCCGCCCGGAAAAGGCCGCCACGGTCTTTCGTTCCAGTGAACAAAGACGACTTCGAGCAAGAGTTACCCGCGGAATGGGAGGCCTGGTTGAGATATCGCAGAAAAGAACCACCTACGCGAGAGGAAATAGAAGCTAATTACCAATTGACAATGATAAAGAAGGAGAATGCAGTGAAACTTTTGAAGAATCGCTCGGAAAATGACGATACCATTAATCTTCCCACAACTTCTGCTACCCAGACTACTCCAGGAAATTTTCCAGTCTATGAAGATTATAAGAGTTTTAATAGTGATTATAAACCAAAGGACTCGTACAAATAGATAAAGAAAATGTCACCTATATAATTAAAGTATATTTCTGGAGTAGTAATTCTGTTAATGCAATAAAGAAATAATTTTAAAGAAAATGAGAGAGAGAACAGCACGTAAAATGTTTTTATTCAATGTGTATGCAATCTAGTTTTATTTCGTATATCTTATCACTTTTTACAATTATTTACTATCAGAGAGATTAGCAGTTTAATTTTTATGAATGTTTTAAAGCAATTATTTTGTTTTATCCAAATTATCTTTATTTTAAAAATGTAATAAAAATTAATGTTGTTTCTTGTTTCTGATATTACAATTCAATATGATCGTGATGACTACTCAAGAACCCTTTAAATAAACTACGAAATTATGATAACAACTATGACTATGACATTGAATTCTATCTATTTTATAAACTTTTTGTTTGTTATTAAATTGTTCAAATTTATAATACGATAAAAATTATAGCAAAAACTTCAAAATAGCAAATTTGTCTTTTCTATGGAAAAAATTTCTAAAAATATCCTATTTTTCTGATTTTTAAGTCTGATATTCTTTTAATAATATTTAAAATATATGAAATTTAAGACTAGAATTAAAATTGATTGAAGAATTTTTAGGATATTAAATCATTAAGCTTAGCTGAGTCACTCTGTATATGTAAAATGATTTATTATCAATGTCTATCTTTTTCTATACATGTAAATTAAGATCTATCGCTTTCATATACAATCATTCTCGACAAAATCCTAACAAAGGTACTACATACTGGGTAGATGTACGAAATATTTATGTCTCAAGATACTACGACTCTAATCTGCAATTATGGTCCGTAATATGAAACTAATGACATAGGATATAAGTTTCGTTTTACGTGCTGGCGAGAAGAAAAAATTAAATGTATGTAAAACATTCTAAATCACATTTGATAAATTTGAAGCGTTTTCTGTTTGAAGTTGCGCTGTTCAGTTCTTACACTTCGAGTCTTGATCACTACAAATTTATAATTAGAGCCATGAATCGCGTGTATTTTTAACTTCTTCAACTGTTTAATACGTGACTAAGATTTCATTATAAATAGTAACTTAAACAACGAAGATCAAGCCATCAGTCAACATTAAATTTTGTCTCTTACATGAATTTAATTGACAGAAACTTAACTATACCAAATGAGAGCATTTTGTATCAACCAGAAAAATCACTATTATCAAACAAAGCTTGATCATATAGTTCTCCCTTAACCAGTCGTCCGCCGAAATAACGACCATTTAGCGAATCTCTTGCACGTTCTGCTTCTGAAAATACAAAAATTAATCCAATAATTATGATACATATACTGTTAATACAAACAGAATATATTACAGTGTAATTTAGTCTGTTCAACATACTCAGATGAAAGTATGATTAATTTGGAACACTATATATAAGATAAATGTCTCAATAATTAAATATGCCGATTACAAATATTAATTGAAGAATCAACAATATATTTGTAATTATTAATATATTAATAAAATAGCAAGGAAATAAACTAAAGAGGTTAAATATTTTGTATCATCAAAATAATAAAAATATATTATTTTCTCTGACTGTAATTATTACAAAAAAGTTTATTTTTCAGAAGCAGTCATATTTTTTTATCATTTTGAGTAAAATATAGTTCACATTTTCAAATTTTTAAAAATATTGTACTATATAAAAACATCTATTTAAGACCGATTTTTATAGTCGCTTCTTATTTGAAAACCTTAAATAATGCCTTAAGATGCTTGTATAATTTTTAAATTGGTTCTCTGATTGTAATAACATTTTAAGACTGTACTTAAGACAGTCTTAAATATAAGAATTGATTACCAGTCGATTCCAAACGGCACAACATGCAAAATTATCCATATGAACATATCAGTGGGTGCTTTCTATTTGGTAACACAAGTCAACACAAATGTCATTCATTATTACACTTTGATTACCAAGATGATGTTTTTGTTGATTTGTGTCACTAAATAGAAAATTGTGTAATGCCTTTTGTAATGTCACTAATTAATATTATCAATAAAAATATAGGACTAATCACTAGTTTTTATTAATTTAGTCATCGAGACATTTATCACTGGGATATAAAGATATACTTTACCATTCATTTCAGCGAATTCGACGAATATTTTTACGATAACTTCCGCATTTTCATCATCCTCGGACTGTCTCTCTTTATAAATAATAACACGTACAACCACACCGAACTTCGAGCACTCATCCTGAATTTCTTCTTGTAGGGTTTCGTCTACATCCTCCGGTGCTACCATATTTCTTAAAATAACGACTCGAGACTCGACTTTACGCATAAGCTTTTGCATTACGAGATGACGCGCGCTCTGGCCCTTGATTGACATATTCTCTTGCTGCTGCAACGTCTGCGGTTCCGTTTCTTCTAAGAGTTTCTTCTGTAATTCTTCCTGTTGTTTTTGATGAGCCGCTTGTTCTTGCGCTCGCCTCATAATGTCAGAATTTGCGGTTGTTGTAACTGGTATCTAGCAATCATATTTTTCGTTATTAACACGTTAACGATTCAATTTTTTGGTATCTTTGATTTAATGTATGAAATACTTACAACTGGCGTACCAACAATCGTAGGTGCGACAACAGCGGGAGGTGGTATAACAACCGGTTGGCCAGGAATCGGTTGGATAATAGCGGGCGGTCGCGTTAAGGTTTGCGGTATGGCTATACCGGGTGGAGGTATCACTGGTGCTACTGTTGCTACCGTTGGTGGTGCCATTATCGTTGCGGGAGCTATAGTAGGTCGTACGACACCAGGAAGTGCTATAACAGAAATAATAATAAACACGTTAAAATCTATTTTTTTTTTGCAACGTTTGGATTCAGTGTAGATGTAAGAATTATGAATTTACAAACTTTGATTTAGGATTGGTGGTGCGGCAGCTCCAAGTTTAGTGAGACCTAACGCGACGGCATTACTGGCTACTGCGTCCATCGCTTGAATTTTTGCTGTTGCAGCTGCTGCAGCCACTGCGGCCGCGGTCGGCATCATACTAGTACCACTAGGTGGTCCCATAAGTGCGTTTGGCGGTGTTATAGCTCTACCTACTCTCAGATACTGGCCACCCAGATCAAACAAATTCATGGAGGCAATAGCTTCCAACGCAGCCTGCATTGTCTCATATTCGATAAAGCCATAACCTTTATGTCGATGTGGAGAACTGCCTTGTGCAAGTTTGCAGTATGTAATTGGCCCGAACGCCTCGAAAACCGATTTGATGTCGTCCTCTGTCAGATCTTGATGTATCGATGCAATATAAATGCGATTATAATGTTTGCTTTCCTCGGTGATTTCGTCAATCACCGATTGTGCTTGTGGCATATTGGACGGACGTCCCACAACCTGAGGTAAATTTGAGAAAAAAGAAAATTAAGATGTATTCTCTAATGCTACATTAATGCTATTGCAAAACTATTCGCTAAATAAATATATTGTTCTCTTACTTCAAAAGTGACACAACTAAAAAGATATTATTTCCCAGTTATTAATGTAATTGAGTTGGTTTACTTTTGTGATTGACATTACTTTATCAATCAAAAGTAAATTCAATTTCATAACAAATCATTACAACTCAAAAAGTGTTTTTTTTTTGCTAATTTTATTGGATTAATTAATAATTTTGTGTACAGTTAAAAAATAATATTTCCTCTTTTCTGAGAAATGTAATATTTTAAATTGTGTCGCTTTTGGAGTAAGGAAGCGATATAACACATAGAACATGTGTAATGGGATGTAACTTATTAACAAATGAAAAACTCAAAGTAATGTATACATAGTATACTAATGAAATAAGATTTTCAAGCAAATTGTAGTTAAGATACAGTTCGTTCGAAAATCATAGATATTGGATAAAGGACTAAATAAAAATTTGCCGACCTCCGGCGGGATGATAGGATTGCTGGGGGACAGGAAATTCGTTATATAGGTACGTCCTGCTACCTTGATGTTGCGGCCACCGATCATGACACCATTCATTTGTTCCAAAGCAAGTTGCGCGGCTTCAGGTATCTCGTATTCAACAAAGGCGAAGCCCTTGTGTTTCTGCGTAACGGGATCCCATGACATATTGATGGACTTGATCGGTCCAAATGGCAAGAAAGCTTGCCTGATTGTATCTTCTTTCAATTCAAAACTGATGCTGCCCACATAAACCCTGTCATATAATTATAGATGTTATTAATATTAATGTTATTTTAATGTAATTATACTTAATATAACTATTTTTTCGCTAACGGTATGTAACTTTATTCAAATTTCTACGTCAATCACTTGTATTAGAATTGTCATCTAAATATGCATTAAAAAATTGTAAATATACATTTCATTTAGATTAACATTATTAATATTACACATATCTAGAATATTAAAATACATTTATCCAATTGTTAACATAACAATTTATGCAATAATGACATTAATAATCGATATCAGTAGATATGTTTAGAAATTGATATACATATATATATGTATATATATACACAATAATTTCATTAATATAAAAAAATATTGTTATAAAATCTATAAAAAATATGTACGTATATATTGTATGTATAATAGAAATAAAATTCTGCAAGTAATTGATAAAAATAATTTATAATATATTTATTTAATTTATAATTTAATATAAAAATATATAATTTTATCTTTATAGTGTGAAGAAACAAAATAAAAAGAATGATGGCAAAAAGACCTGTTTCTTCGCCCATTTTTTGGACCTTGAATTTCAAATTTTTTTTATGCTAAATAGTACTATATGATGTAACATTGATCCTAGAGAAATTTTAAGACGAACATAGGCACGGTTCCGAACAAAACAAGGGATGAAAGTGATGATTTCTCATAATCCATGAAAGTACACGAAACTTTTCTCAAGTGTCCATATCAAGGAATAAAATATATATTTAACGAAGTGAAACATAGCGTCTCTTATGAATTTTTTTTACGCCGGATTCAAATATGACCTTAGTTTTCGTCTAGAATGAAAAGTTTGTTTCATATTCATTTTCAAATAAACGAGATCTTATTTGTGAATAGAGTAAACACCCGTCGT